GAATCAGCTAATTTGGGACACCTGCGGCGTCAAAGTGGTTTATCCCTGAATATCAAGAGACGTATGTATCAAGCTACGGTACGGGCCCTTTTGTCGTACGGCTCTGAGGCTTGGCCTGTTCAAGCAGCGGAACTGAGACGTCTTCAGGTGTTCGGCAGCGTATCCGTAACCAGTCGATTAGATAGCGAGTTTTCGGTTGTTCAACGGGTACGTCCATTGAAGAATGTGCCCAGCATTGAAAACTGCGTTGGTTGGAACATGGAACAGAGAGGTGGCTAACCCTTGTCTGACAGAAAGGTATGAAAGAAATCACGGGACGTTTGGGTGCTGTCGGTGCTACTCGCCTCCCAGGATGGGGACAACGCGATCCACACTGCGCCTGGTTGGAGACGCTGCAAGATATGGCTTCCAACCGATGTCAGTGGCGTTCTTGTTGTCAGTTTCTATCCAGATCGCCTGACTGAATGTCTGGAGGTGTAGGCACCTCGAATTGATTGCAGCAAGCTAGCACTGAGTCTCTTCCTCATTTACCTTTATTCTTTTCGCAATAAGGCCCTTAAATAAATCATGGTTGTAAGGCAGCAAATCATCGGTGTCGAACACCAATGTCATGCTGTCAATGATGATGACGATGGTGACAGTGCACCCTCTTGCCCTAGGCTTTGATGATTGCAGTAATTTTCCCCATTTGCGAGGTGTTTTGTCTGAGAATCTAACTTCCGTGGCTCTATATTTCCTAAAAGACGCAATTCGGAAAGCCGTGGATGAAAATTTCGGTTGTTGCTACTCGTTCTGCATAGAATACCACACATTTTACTCCTGGAATTGCCATTATTTGGAGATTTGTGGGGATATCACCTTCAACCAAATTTTTCCAACTTTCGGCCGCGCTTTGGATTTCACGGTATTTTATCTATGTGAGACCAAGAAGTGCTACCTAACCGTCACATCGGGCCACTACTTGCCATCGCTTTTGGCAGCAGCCCACAGAGGTTTGCTTTATCGGATGACCCATCTTGGTTCCCATTATCCGCACAATGCTCTTAACTGCAAAACCTTTGCGAGTGGATTAAAACTTTCCACACCAAATGGTTCACTTTGTTGCGTATGCGCTCAAACCAAAAGCCGTTCTAATACTTCTTTTTTCAGCTCACCAAAATTCATTGTACACTGAAGTAATCATACCTCCGGTGGAAAAGTCTAGTGAAATAATCCCATAGCATCAATGAGACCCCGGACTGCCTTAATGGGGCTCAAAAGTGTATACATCTACTCTCAACTCAGTTGTCTGGTTGCTCTAATCCATCAGGGGCACGCAATAGCTCTCGAAGCTTCAATTTCATTGTGCGAATAGTGACAGCCCTCCATTGCTCATTCGTCAAGCCGTATCTCGGTTTGGCGGTTCATAGTTTATCCAGGTTCGGTGGCGCCCATTTTATTTCTGCACGTCAACGACTATTTGTTTACCAAATTACAACGACGCAGCTTCAACTTTTCCTACAAAGCAGGTGTGCATTGGAGAACATGCATTTTGTGGTGACTGTGAGCTAGTCGGATGTTTGGTTCCGGATGGCGCAATATCTTCAAGCGAGAAATTTCTGCTCGGGTACTGATCTGTTGCCGGTAGCTCGACAAAGTCGGCTGTCAAAATAACGGGGTAAAACACAAAATGTTGGGTTTCCGTGACTGTCAACGATGTGGTTATGAACAGTGCTGACAACTGAAGCTCGATTACTGCCATGATTCGGAGACGCTAAAAATAAAAGAAATATTGAAGCACTTGGATTATTAAAATGTTTACGCCCACGGCACTTGCATCTCATCCAAATTGCCAGTCTTGCTCAATGAACAGACGCCAATCACCAAGTAAAATTTAGACCACGGAAACTATATCATTCTTGAACTTCCCGCATTTTTTGCACAGATGCAGATTAATGACAGGTTTCTTCCCCAGTTAGGACATGACTGAGTCGTTTCATTTTTAACATGATGAGCAGCAACACAGTTAAGAAGGAGAAGCGTGGGAGCGGTGAAATGAAGTCATTTGCAGTGGGATGGATGGGCAGCTTGTATCCCATAATTATGGTTTATAGTAACATCTAATAAACTTCATTGCTTCGTTGAAGAGGCGTTAGAAATAAAAGGCCGCCGGATGAGCAAAGCTGCGCTAATGAGTGGAATCGAATGGGCATGACAAAACTGCACGAATTATTGGATGTGACAACACCGAGGCTGTTCAAGCAGAGGACAGGGTTCAGCGGGTCGAAACAGAAGAACTCACCGCAATTTCATCTGGGTCAGGGTCCACGGTTCGTAATCATTCGCAGAAAAGTGCCCAAGAGGGTTAAATCATTTGTGAGGGAATGTGGAGAACAATCACATGCGTCGATATAGCACCACAGTGTCATCATTGTATTGAAACAGTTCAGTCATTTTTTGAGGCGGTTGGACTAGTGAAGTGTATTCGTGGGGTCAGCGACCTTTGCCTTAGCCAAACGGATCATCGCAAAAGGATTTAGGAGGGTAGCTAATCACAGATGCTCTTCGTTCAATAAAAAAATACATGAGGATGGATTGCGGGCAAAAAGAGCGTTTGGGGCAGCTGCTGTTGAAGATAGGAAATTAAAAAGGAAAGAGCGCGACGAAATTAGCAGAGCCTGGTGGGCAGGGAGGGGCATTCCAGGTCTCCCGTTTCTTCCAGACGAGTATGGAGTACATCTGGATAACAATTCAAAAGGCTGAAAGTGGTGGCAAGGTTTGCCACATGACTTAAAAGGACGTCGCTAAACAGGAAGGCGCAAAGTGAAAGCAAGAACGAGGGCCAGATTGTGGCGGATCGGTGCTGTGTCGGATCAGGAGGGACATCTGTGAGGTCACTCGACATGGGTAAATACGGTGTGCATCAGCCGTCAAGTAGCAGCGAGTTTCAGCTCTGGTACCGAGTTCCCTCAGATAAGAGTCCGTTGTGCAGAGAGGCAGTAGCGAATGAGAGGAAGCAGGAGACTGATGAAGATAATGATAAAACTTTGGAGATAACAAACAAGGCTCTGGGAAATCAGGAAGTTTCCACTTGAAGTGAATCGTATTACAAAATGTGATGGAGAATGAAGGAAGGGGTAGGGAGTCACCAACCACTTAGTCACGGCCTTATCCTAAGTAACCAGTTGCGCGGGGTTGGAAAGGCCAATGAGGCTAAAAGTGAGTGCCGGTATTGACTAAAGGGGGAAGCCTGTGTACAGTTACTGGTATTTAGCCATTCCCGGGGCAAAAGGGTAAGGCATGTATGTGTGCGCATGGCTGATTAAAAAACTTCATGTGAAGATGGTTTG